TACCACCCTTTAAGATATGGGCGTAGAATTGAATTCAATGCTCGATGATTTAAATGATACTGATTATCGCGATGGCTCCTTCGACACCTTCGATCAAATCACCTAAACAGCCAAAGTCGCCATCTTTGTTTATATGAGACCCATATATCTCGCGCATGCGTGGAGCGACAACTACCGCCTTTTAAGTGACAATAAATTGTCTTACTTTTGCTACCAGTGGCTAGAGGTAATTTTAAACAATGAATTCTTATGCAAAAATGTTCACCTTAAAGCATGTGATCACCCATAGAAATAGAAATTAGACACCAGGAGAATGATAGAATTTAGAAAGTGAGCATTTAAGTTTTCTGGCAAATTAATGATATTTCATATCTCTCTATTTACAAAGTTGACAAACCCTGTTTTAAATTGGATATAAAAGACAATGCAGTATTAGCCGATGTGGCTAAAACAAATTTATCCTTTGCGGAAACCCAGTTAAACATATGCTAAAAAGATTATAGTATATAGCAATGTGAGACAGGCTTATATAATATATCAGGAAACAACACAGTACGTTGTGGTATTTATTGATGTACATAAGAATTCTAAGAGTTTTTTTTATATTTATCCACGCACGCAAAATATTTCTGATTTTTAAGACTGTTCTCGGTACTTGTTATCTAAAGTGTTCTGGTCATCTTGACATAGTGATAGTTATTGCGCCCTCGTAAGTTGCGTTTGGCTGGTTACTGACTCAAGTGTCATGGCGCACCAAGCCAACCGCAAAGGTCACCGGGAACCAGCGAAAGTTTGCGTCCGAGTGAATCTGTCGACGAGGGCGCGATGACTGTCACCGACAATCTCAGGCTATGGTCATCGTTGTAAAAACAAACATTGTATTTTATACGATTTGAATATGTTACCATGTTTCCAATATTATCAGACAAGATGTAGCATAACGACCACGTTCAAACCTTTCAAGTTGAACACCAACATTGGTCAGTGCAACGTTTTGCATATTTTTATTGATGTTTCTATTTTTTTTTGACAAAATATACGTTATTTCTACCGATGCTGATCTGATTTTTTGAGGTTTTTTGATGAAAAATTATGTGACATACGTTGATTG